GCTGTCCGTTTTTCATCCCAAGGGGGGATTAGGAGTCAGGGAGAGGATACTGGGATGGGTCAGGACAGGTCACATGCTTTATATCCACTTGCATGAAATAGCTCCACAGTTTTTGATAGTCTCACACTATGTGGATATAACCACAGTAAATGAAAAGCTCCCATTGGCTGAGGGGAAGTGCCCATGGGCTAATTATATGGAATGGGTGATGTATTCATGTCCAGAGATGTGAAATATGCATTTATACAGGTGTTTACTGTACTATTCACAGACATGTGTGCATTACCACCCCCCACCCCCCGGATGTTATATTGAACGGTGCCCATGTGATAGACAGTCAGTGTACCAGATGTGTCACATGGATCCGTCCTTTGCCCTTGAAAACAACCCATAGTTATTTGAAATAACATACATGTATGTTGTTTACCCGTGTGCTCGGACATTTCCGTGACTGTTTCTTCAAGTGTTCTGTTGAAAGAGTCTAAAAGGCTGGTGGTTTGTGGAACAAAGTAATGTTTTAGTGAGCCAAGAACCAGCGAAAGGTTAGGTTGATGGACTGTTCGTAACAAAAATCAGAGTCCCGTAGCATTTTGTAGGACGTTTATATTCATTGATGCCAATACAGTATGCAAATTTGAAAGTCGTTGAGGGATATTTTTGACTATAATACACTAATACAAACAACAATTACAACAATACAATTCTGTTTATTATAAGTGAACTGTGATATGTTTGGACTACCAAAAGGTACAAGGAAATACGAAAATTTGAGGTAATCTGTTTTCCGTCATTTGTAGGTTATTGACGCTCATGACAATTAAAATTCTGCCCAAGCTATTATATTTGTTAGAAAAAAATTGGCGTATAACCTACAAACTGTTTGCAGTTCGCAAAGATCTGTAGGAAATAAATTAATATAAATTAACACCACATGGCTTTTCAAAATTTAACAGTCTATCTATCGAACAGTCTCAGTCTGTACTAAACATAGGCCCACTTTAGCTTCGATTAAAGGAACACTTGAGGATTACTGTTATTTCAACAAACAAATCTAGACCCTTGCTGTGCTATTTCTTATTCTTATTCTACACCTTCAACTACTTAAAAACTAACAAACATTCACCAAAAGCCCACTACAGTAATGTACGGACCTCCCACGACGCCCTTTTCCGAACTTGATCTTCCTATCGTCAACGGTAACTTGCTCAGCAAAAATCGTGAACATCCATTTGCAGATTCTCGAATTATCCCACTAACAACAATAACGACCAACATAAAAGGTCAAATTCAATGACATGGGAGCCCCCCACGAGGCCCATATCCGAACTTGACCTCCGTATTCTGAACGGCGACTTGCCAACTAAAAATCATAGACAACCATTTAAGGATTCCCGAGTTATCTGAGGAACAACAAAAAACGCAAACACAAAAGGTCAGCTCCAGTCACGTCGCCTGGAATTTTATACTTTTTTAATATTGAGTATTTGAAAGGTGAGTGAAGGTGAACATCAATAAACATAACTTATTCAAATAAGGACATCATTTGGATAACGTATGAGGAAACGCCAGAATTACATTCTTTGTTTACCCTATCTAAACCGGGCTCATTTGACCCCCACCTCAGAACTCGAGAATCGTATGTTGTACGACCACTAAATTTTTAGAGGATGGTGTACTAGTAAAATTTTATAATATCTACAATTTGTATGTCGTTATGACGTAATATGAAGTCATTATGACGTCATTAATGTGCCAAAACTGTCTAGATAGGTTATTCCCTAAAAACTAAATGGTATACAACATAATTTTACCAAAAGTGTTTATGGCAGAATATTAGGGTGTACTAAGTCTTATGTTGCCCATAGCAACACCGGTGATAAATAAAATGACGCGATGCATATTTAAGCTATCCGCCATCTTGGAGCATCAATCTTGAATTTTCAAAAATAGTTTGTTTCTTTTCAGGATAAAGCCTACAATACATTGTAAACAGACTAAAGACGTTCATATGAACCTTTTTTGGAAAAAGAAATTAATGTTTTGATGAAATTTTAAGAAAAATAACCTGTATAAACCTGTTCTATGATATGGTCCGCCATCTTGGATTTTGGCCAATGACGTCATCAAATTAGCATAAATTATGTATTTTTAATTTTAAAATTTACATTAAATTTTCTGAGATGTAATTAATATTAGAAACTATGTGTAACTTGACATAAAACCCAAAAATTTTATTATGGGTTCACCACACCACGAAGTGGTGGTGAACCCATATTGCTTTTTCTGATGTTTCTCCTCCTCCTCCTCCTTCTCCTGCCATTTTTTAAATGGATTCAGCTTCTTCATTTTAGGGCCCAAGGTCCTGAAATTTGGTATGGAGGTATAGTGGGCAAATACCCCTAGGCGTTTTTTAAATTATTGTGATACAGGCTTTTAGAATGGTTTTATTTGAGTTTTTTGGCTGTGTTATAGCAAATGTATTACTGTGTTAGTGTGCCTTGTTTACCACGTTTGGGCATGAGTCATCACAATGGAATGCAGGGCATCAACCAATAGGCATGCAGCTTTCCTCTATACTTCTTGCTGATTGGCTGTTGGGATTTAACTTGATTAACACCTGCACAGAGCATTTCCACCTGCACAGAGCATTTCCACCTGCACAGAGCATTTCTTGCTGATTGGCTGTTGGGATTTAACTTGATTAACACCTGCACAGAGCATTTCCATACTGACAGTATGTCTGTATTCAAGTGGTTTGGTAGGTATTTCAAGCTTTCCTGCTCCAGCATTGGAATGCGGGGCATGGACGTTTTTTTATTTATTTTGAAAATCAACAGTTTGCATTATGCAATTAAAAATCCTAACCAATAAAGTAGGGAATAGCTATCCAACTGTTGTTTTAGTTGTATTTTACTTCATATTATAGTTATATCAATGTAAATCATTGTTTTCCCTTGTGTTTCTCATTCTTTCCCTGCCATGTCGTAAAATGTGGTGAACCCATCGCTGTATTTGCTCCAGAGCAAATATTGGCCTTTCTAGTTGTTAAAACTAAAATTACCAAATTTAGCAAAAAATGCATGTCAGAAACCCGTTGCCATGGCAACACAAAAAATTATTATCTAATTCCAATGCAGAAAATTGTTGCCAATATAATAATAATAATAATGAAAATAAAATTATTGCATTTTTACAATACAACACTAAAGGTTAAAATACCAACCTTTAAAAGTACTAGATTAAAATCAAAGTATATAACGGCATGTACATTACAGGATTACATTACAGAGTGATGTTTAAAAGCTGGACGAGGTAAGGCAATGGGCAATCGATCCTAGAGTTTCTGGAGTTGTAGTGCTTCACAGGCTGCAGAGTAACTGTGAAATATGTTGCTGAGGATGATCTTAGTTGCCCGCACTTGGATGTTCTGGATATTCTAGGAAACGCCGTTGTAGCGCTAGCCGTTTAGACGCTACATGACATCATAGTTGGCGCGGGCACTTTTACCCCCCCTGGTCTAGATAGGGTTAAGACAAGACTGTCTTTAGGTGGAAAATATTATTAACGGATATCATTCATGGAAATGAGGATCATATTTGCAAGTATTTGGGAATAACCTATAATTTTTCAGTCATAAAGATTAACATCATTTGGCGAAGGTACGAGATCGTGCAACTCTTTTAGTTATTAGCGTAATTGGAGATTCTAAGTAAAGAATTACAGTCCATTGTCTTATTGCAAACAATTATTGAAAAGCTAGCTGGTTTGTATCTTATATGTATGTCCTTGCAGTGCTTAACAGGTGGTTATCGTGCTGCGTTGGAACTTTCTAGTTTAATTTTCGTGACATATATGTTCGGGTCTCCCGGTCGAGAACCCTCTCTCTCATAACCATTTTAATGATACGATAAACTTATATAATTGATTTGAAGGATTGTTTCATAATTAATATCAAGCATTATGTCCATGTCTAAAAGACTAACATATGTTTTGCCAGAGAATTTCAAAATACATTCAATTCGCAATATATCTCCGTCCGACATAAAATTAATTCAATAACTATAAAAGCACACATTAAATTAACAAAGAACAATATACACACAAAACTACAATTATATCAGGATCAACAAAACGTAATATGTTTTATTAGATAACTAACTTTATATATCACCAGGTAATGAAAAGTGCATAACATAATATTGTTATCACACAAATAGCATAAAATACATCGTTGAAGAGATTCATTTATCACGTATAGATATAGTTACTATAAGGTTCTTTCAACAGTGACAAGTTTGAAGGGTAAAGATACTGACCTCCAAATTTTCGATGACTATCAGTCCATCTTGTTCACGGAGTGGCCTAGTCTCGCAAGAGACTTACCCTTGCTCCGGAGGGAAGCAACAGGGGTAGGGCCAGCAAAACGATGCAAGTCTCGGGCTATCGCGAGACTATACCACTCCGTAAACAAGATAGACTGATAGTAATCAAACGTTTCAAACTTGTCACTGTTTCAAGAATACTCTAGTAACATTACAACATATATGTTTTCAAAGCATTCATGAAATTGAATTATGCATAAAAAAACTTACGAATATAACATAAAAAACAGCACTTTGTTACTGCCAACATCTGCTTTTGACAAGGATGTAAGGCCATGTTGATTTGATTATATGGATGACATCCTCCGAGAGCCCCAAAACTGATGCGCGCGTACGAATAAAAAAAGTTTTGCAAAAAAAAAAGTCCTTTTCATTATGAAATATACGTGGTCATGAGGGTTGAGCAAATGGCACAGAATCTGGTTTGGCGAATAATCTAGTCTTCAAGTTCATTTCTTTACAATTTCGTCTTTTTTTCGTTTGATTTTGGTATTCTACGACATTGGTATAGTTTTTATTATTTTTTTTTTTAACTTATGGTATATTTTTGCTCATTTTGCTTTTGCTGTTTTGTACGATTTACAGTATGGTTGAAAACTTTTTTTTTGGAAACGGCCGAAAATTCATGCGCGCGCGGATGTCATCCATATAATCAAATCAACATGGCCTAAATTCAAATAATACCAATTCAGTTTTGCCCTTTAGTGCTCACAGGATTTGCATCTAGAAATAACAGTTTTGGACGTTTGTTAGAAATGTTTTTACAATTTGTAAAACTTCTATTATGGTTGGTAGATATTATAGTACACTAGGTTATAAATCCACAATTATTAAACAAAACGTGTTTTAATATGAATTAACGGCCAAAAAGTCTTGCAATATCATCATAAAAGTTATATCCAAACATATCATAGTCCGCTTTAAACTTTTGTTTGATTTGCCACAAATCTTCCATTGGTATTTCTTTATAGAAATCCCAAAATAGTTTATCACCTTTCCTCTGTCGTACTTCCGGGATCAGGTCTTCTCTCCCAACGATTCCAGCCTTCCTGAAGAACAACTGGTAGTCTTCCGCTATTGTCTCCGTGTGCATGATGAAGTCGTAGTCAATCTATAGGTGCGGAAGATAATACGTACTTATTCTTTTACCACTAGACCTAACATCTAAGTAAATATTCAAATATTATAACTATTGCGACAAGGACTTTCTGAAGACGGCATTTATAACACTGTATCATTCTAAATGTCGGACATAATTTTTTTAAATCGCACCCCTGTTACTGTACTCCTTACTGATGCTTCGCCAGCGATTTTAAAAGTGAATTGACCCTCACAACGACACTAAATCATTACATTCCATAATATTCAGCTTTAGAAACAAAGGAAAGGGGCAGATTTTCATGATACTGTTCGGTCTTTTTAAATGGGTTAAAAATATTTTTGCACTGGAAAAATATTACACAAATGTCCAGTATCAGAGTGAAATTTACAACCAGTAAGCTAACTTCGTACAGTGGGCAGGAGATTGTGTACGAAGTACGAAGTTGTATGAATCTATTATGTAAACAGCCTTTCCCTGACCATGACACTACTGTTTAAAAATTAATCTTCTCTGACGAAGTAAGCGCCGCACTTCCCCAAGATTGCGAACACTAACAAATATATCTTGCAACATGACTTGTACTAAAACTAAGCTCGAATTATGGCGTATCCAAAGATGACACCAGCTGGCGAAAGTTAGTTTAAAAGTCTTTATTTGCACTGTACTTTAATTTGTACTGTACGGTGTGTATAAGAGTGCAACTTGTATTTCGAAAAAGAGAAATTTGTTCCGTAAACGGTATCGCTTGTATTTCGAACCGTGGAATGTGTTCCGTACACGTTGTCGATTGTACTTTAAAACGTCTACATGGCGGTTTCATCATCAAGGTGTGAAGATGCCGTGCTGCTAATTGAACCCAACAAATCTTTAGTCTACTCGTAATATATTCTTATAAATATGCATTGTTTACATTTTCACCCTACCTAGACCGGGGGGGGGGGGCTAAAAGTGTCCGCGCCAACTTTGATGTCTCTATCATTGAAATAAGATAATAATTTTTTGTGTTGCCATGGCAACGGGTTTTTGACAGGCATTTTTTGCTAAATTTAGTACTTTTTGTTTCAACAATAGAATTTTATGGGTTTTATGTTAAGTTACTTTTGGTTTCTAATACTAATAACATCCCATATAATTTTATGTAAATTTTATCATTAAATATGCATAAATTATGCTACTTCGATGACGTCATTGGCCAAAATCCAAGATGGCGGACCATATCATTAGAACCGGAATATACAGGTTATTTTCATTAAAATTTCATCAATACTTTCATTTCTTTTTACAAAAAAAGGTTTAAATGAAGGTATTTAGCATGTTTACGATGTATTTTAGGCTTTATCATGAAAAAAAAACTATTTTTGAATTCCAAATTGATGATCCAAGATGGCGGATATCTTAAATATGCATGACGTCATCCGGTGTTGCTATGGGCAACATAAGACTTGGTACACCGTAATATTCTGTCATAAACACTTTTGGTGCAGTTATGTTGAATACCATTTAGTTTTCAGCGAAAAACCTATCTAGACGGTTTTGGCCAATAAAATCACATTAATGACGTCATAATGACGTAATATTACGTTATAATGACATAAAAATTGTAGATATGATAAATTTTCTCTAGTGCACCATCCTCTGAAAATTTGGTGGTCATACGACATACCGCTTGCGAGTTCTGAGGGGGGGTCCAACCCCCCCCCCGTTCCCCCCATGTCAAAAAAAGCCCGGTCTAGGTAGGGTTAAGTGGTTAGCTTTCTTTGTGTTTGTCTCTTGTAAGTAGGTATATATCTTGTCTTTCTTACACTTATACCGAAACGCATTTCTTGGAATGGGATGCTATTAACTATTATCTGTACTATGTGTATAACTCCGTACATCGTCCACCAACCCCACCCTCTCTACCCCCAGTCATTTCTAACTTCGTACATCGTATACCAGTCACCGCCCCATCACCTTGTAACATTACGTCACAAGGTGATGCCGTATACTTCGTACAATTTCATACATCGTGCCCCAGTCCCCGCTTTCTATACGAAGTTTCATAGCATCAAACGGTGGTGATGAGAAACCAAAAAGATCAATGACCTGGACAAGACAGCTGTTACCGGGGTTAAAAATTATGTTGACACAATGGCCATTTTCTATCTAAAATTTGAAGTAGTCCATATAGAATTCTTGAAAAAATTGTGTAGGTTTAATCTATGCTAAATTGAAGTTTAGACTGAATTGATTTAGTCTATCAATACATTGGCTGTAGTTCTGGTAGAATTCCTTTATGTCCTAGGAAAGACTGGAATTCCAGTCTGTCGTAGGGCAATGTTAGATTGTAATCTTAATATTCAGATGCCAATTTTTAACTGGAATAGTCCTAGGATAGATTAAATTCAAGTTTTCCCTTGGGGAATTCTAGATTGCCCTGGAGTCCAGTCTACCCTGTGTTATATATGTGTATATAGCACTGAGCATTCAAAATACACACATATACACACACACACAC